AGTATTTAGATATATGTATGAGCATGGAGAGCATTTAAGGTCAAATACATAAACTTTGACATGTTTATAAGATCACAATTGACCTTTTTTGAACAAAAGTGTTCAGATTATAATAACTTGTTCATTTATCAATAGAATTAACAGAATTTTGAAAGGCTTGAATAAGTTTACTATTTTTTCTCAATTTTAGGGGCCAAATCATACTTCCACCTTTTTCATTTATTTCAATACTACTTTAAAAAATATATGTGAATATCAAAAAGGTAGAAAAATTTCACATACAAATGACATAAAACATTGAAACAGAAATTCGAAAGATTAATATGATGCTCTTAAAATGAATGATGCTCAAGATTCACTGTATGAGGTATGCCCCTTCATGACCATAAGTGCTGACAGAAAATTTTAAATCTTCATTAAGGCTTGTTGAAAGTGTCCTTACAAGACAAAATATCTCAGAAAGGTAAGTCATTAGTAAGGAAAGTTTAGCAAATGATATATGTATAGTGTAACCTGATAACAAATACAAATGTACATGTATTAAAATAATGCAAAAATATATTAAGGGAGGATCAAAATAGAATGAGATGCGAAAACGCATAGTCTTAAAATAAGTCAATTAGCAGATTAGCACCGTCGTGTTGCTCATGTAGGTTGCATTCGAAGAAAAAAGTACGTGATTGTGCAAATATATATATGACTTGCTTTTCAGTGAATGCATTACTTTTCGTGTGTTACTATTTTTTTTGTTGTTATTTTCAAATGGTTAGATGAAGAACGCGTTTCACTTTTTAACAAAATGCATATTTCGCAAAGGCTTGCGTGCAGAATTTAATATTCCTCAATGTACAGTTAAAGGTTCCATAAATATATATAAACGAAAAACTCCACAGGGTGCTGAAATGAAGTTTAAAAACCAACAATTAACCAATCAATCAATCAATAGGAATTGATTTGAAATTTTCAATGTATTTTTCGATAAATCATCAGTAGTGTTACATCTGCTTCGTTGAATTATACCAAAAAAGGATTGTGTTCTCTTGTTCTTAACTCAAGTAATTGATTTTAAATTTGCAAACGTTTGTAAATGACACATTTTCATTTCAATTCGATTGATTGATTGCTTCCTTGTGTCCAACTTCTATTTCAGCACTAATGGCTGTTTAATGCTGGTCAATTGTTATTCATGAAGGGAGTCTGAGTGCCCAGATAGAACTTCTAATGTGTCCTTGGTAATTATATAAATTCTAGTCAATTCAAATTGGAGTAATGCCATGAATAGGGATCAAAAGCATAACCTAAGTTCCAACATGCTAGTCATAACTGTAGATGCAATAATTAGCCTTTGTAGAGGCTTTGATAGAGATCTTATTTCAGTTAAATCACTCAGGCTCCAATGCCCAAATTTCAATTTGAACTAGCTAATTCCGACAAAGTTAATACAGATATAACGGAAGATTCTTTTCAGATATCAAGGAATATGGCAAGCCGTTCTCGTCAAAACTATGTTTAAACCATTTTTCGAAAAATTTACACACTGAGAATTAAAAATAAACACACTGAGATTAAAAAACCTAAAAACGCAAACTGAGAATTAAAATTTACACACTGCGATTTCATAAAAACGCACTGAGATTACAAAAAATGAAAAACACACACTGAGAATTGAAAATTACACACTGAGAATTGAAAATTACACTATGAGATTTGAAAAAGACACACTGAGATGAAATAAACTGAAAAACACACACTGAGAATTTGAAATTACACACTGAGAACTTAAAATTACACACTGAGAATTTAAAATTACACACTGAGATTAGTGCGCACTTTTTATGCGCACATATCTAATTAGCATAATTAATCTGAATCTATTACAAGCTTAAAACAACTAGTGGACAGAACTCGTTAGTCCTTCAATTTGGCGCTAAATGTTTTATAAAAAACATTAAAAATACAACGTATAGAAAAACTACGTTATTAAAGACCAATAGAACAAGAAAAATACCCACTTACCCTCATTATAAAATATAACCAAATGGTGAAAAACTTTATTAAAATTATCAGAAAACATTGGAATAATCTGCAAAAATACAAACAATGCAGTGAATTTTTTCCCAAATGCCTATTATACCATATACACGTGACAAAAATATAAAAAATTACCTTGCGAAATCAGGGTAACAGTTGAAAGACGATTGAAAAGGGACCATGCTTAAACAGTTTTAAGCAAAAATCCCGATATACTGATAGTAATAATCTGAATTATGGGCAAACAAACTTTATTACGAATGTTGGTTGTAGGAACCGCATTTCATTATAATGACAAGAGTTCGGGAGACCAAGATATTAATCTGTTAAATTATTCAACTCATGAATATTCATAAGTAATTTGCATATTAATATTAGTGTGTTTTTTTGAAATATCATCGTGTAATTAACAATTATCAGTGTGTGTTTTTCAATTTCCTTCATCTCAGTGTGTCTTTTTAAAATCTCAGTGTGTAATTTTAAATTCTCAGTGTGTGTTTTTCATATTTTTAAATCTCAGTGTGTAATTATAAAATTTCAGTGTGTAATTTCGATTTCTCACTGTGTAATTTCAATTTCTCAGTGTGTTATTGAAAGTTCTTCAATCTCAATGTGATTTTTTAAATTCTCAGAGTGTAATTTTTTTCGAAAAAATGGTTTGAACATAGTTTTGACGAGAACGGCTTGCCATACAGGAAGCTTTAAATTTAGCTTCCTTGGTATCTGATAATAATCTTCCGTTATATCTGTATATTAACAAAGTATTAATTTCGTCAGAATTAGCTAGTTCCAATTGAAATTTGGGCATTGGAGCCTGAGTGATTTAACTGAAATAAGATCTCAATCAAAGCCTCTACAAAGGCTTATTATTTCATCTACAGTTATGACTAGCATGTTGGCACTTAGGTAATGCTTTTGATCCCATTTCATGGCAATACTCCAATTAAAATTGACTAGAATTGATATGATTACCGAGGACACATCAGCAGTTCTCTCTGGGAATTCAGACTCCCTTCATGAATAACAATTGACCAGAATTAAACAGCCATTAGTGCTGAAATAGAAGTTGGACACAAGGAAGCAATCCATTGATCGAATTGAAAGGAAAAATTAGTCGTTTACAAACGTTTGCAAATTTGAAAACAATTACTTGAGTTAGGAACAAGAAAACACAATCCTTTTGGTATAATTCATCGAAGCAGATCTAACACTACTGACGATTTATTGAAAAATACATTGCAAATTTCATTTCAATTCCATTCTATTGATTGATTGATTAATTGTTGGTTTTTTAAACTTCATTTCAGCACCCTGTGGAGTAACTCGTTTATATATATTTATGGAACCTTTAACCGTACATTGAGGACTATTAAATTCTGCACGCAATCCTTTGCGAAATATGAGTTTTGTTCATCTAAACATTTGAAAATACCAAAGAAAATTCTATCATGTTAATATACAGATATAACGGAAGATTATTTTCATATATCAAGAAAGCTTTAAATTTAGCTTCCTTGATATCTGAAAATTATCTTCCGTTATATCTGTATTTAAACGTCTTGAATATTTTAATCACAACAACAGAAGTGTTAAACGTATGTTGTAGGGTATGTTATTACCATACTATTAATTTTGTCTGAATTAGCTGTTTCTCTATTGAAACTGGGGCATTGGAGTCCGAGTAATTTAGCTGAATTAAGCTCTCTATCAAAGCCTCCGCAAAGGCTCAGTTATATATTATAGGATAGTCAATTTATGACTTATTTGATGTTTAATGTTTAAATACACAGGAGGGATGATTTCAAATATATCGGTTGTTTAAATTCGAAGTCTTTAATGTGGTTTGTTTTTCGCGGTATTTCAATAAAGCAATTTCCAAGACAATATCTCTTTGCGATGTTTAAACTTTGCGATTATATTGCCCCTAATTATGATAATCCATCAAATCAAATTAACGCACAGATCTATTTTGCAGTTTTATCTTCACTGCGAAATAAGCCAAAAATATCCTTTTGATGTTAAGTATCTATGCATTTTAATTTAAATACACATGAAGTTTAATTTCAATTTATGAGATAATGGATACTATATAATTCCTAATTAAACTTCCAATTTATCTGAAATTAAACTTCCGATCAATCTGAAATAAAATTCATAAATATATACGCAAAACTGCCCATGGGTTTCATAAATGTTTGGTTATTTGCCATTCTTAACATTTTCAAAGATAGTCCAGGTTGAGAATGTTGTACGTATTTTGCTCTTTACTTGTACATTAAACCTAATACGTCAGACTGCAATCAAACTATACAAATAAGTAAACTTTTAAAAAGCCACTTAAATTCATATTCATTAATTGTTATTTGTTTTAATTACTTAACATTCGTTCAATTTTTGATAACACGAAATCTCCCGAGGGAATTAAAACTTTTATTTCAAAGTTTTGTTTCTTGATATATCAAAATCAATGTGAATTTCAGAAAACATGATTCAGTACTTGAATCACAATTCTATGAAATGAGGATTATTTACACAATTGTATGTGCTTAAGTCTTTTATATTTCTGATTTTCATTTAATAATTTGCCTTAGATATTCGTAAATTTCTTTAAATGGCATATGCATGTCTTATGTATCCATATTGTGTTTATTTACCTAGCCACGGAAAGGTATGTTTGCAAGTATATGGCTTGGTCCGAATGACTGTACTATAAGTATAATGTATTAGTATGAATAAAAATGCACATAAAAATTCAAGCATTAGAAAAAAAGAAAGAAAAAACAATAAATTGTTTGTTTTTAAATTCAAATTTGTCATCGTTTAGCTTCAATTATCGATTTTAAAACGACAAGGAAAACAGAAATAAATACCATTATTCATCATCAATCAATTCAATGGTCTTTTTTTAAAGGTTCAGAGGAAATAAATAGAACTGATCAGAGACTTGTCGTCACTGCAGTTCAAATCAAACCAAAGTAGGCAACCATGGGAGTTTTGATTGTGCTATTGTTATCCATGGTTGGTAATGTTTACGGACAGTCTTATCATGAAGGATATGGGGGTTATGCAGGATTTGGTAGACTTTCAACCGGAGTCGGTCGAGGATTTAGTGGGCTTTCAGCTGGAGTTGGTAGAGAACTTAGTATGATGGGAGGAGGTGTTGGAGGACTTAGTATGATGGGAGGAGGTGGTGGAGGACCTAATATAATGGGAGGAGGTGGTAGAGGACTTAGTATGATGGGACGAGGTGGTGGAGGACTTAGTATGATGGGAGGAGGTGGTGGAGGACTTAGTATGATGACAACAGGTATGCATTATCAAGCATAATTTTAGTATCTAGAATTGTGTAGTTTCCAGTGGACAATGACAAAATATGCACTTACCATTTATTAGTTTCACATTTTCTGAGTTATATCTGTCATAAATCTTAAATATGTCTGTCAACATTTTAATGTTGCTCATCTTTGGTTTACTGTTAATATCTAAAAATTAGTGGGTACACTTTTTCGTGGATTTGAAGGGTAAAGGAAAGTCACGAATTTAACAGAGAGGTTTTAAATGTGCAACACATTACAACTTTTACACACGCTTATAGGCAAACTTTGACAAAGCCAAATATATACAAAAATACAGTATGTCCGCAATCCACGATAACTGGTTGGCAAAATGAGCCTGTTAATTTTAATTTTTCATTTTGTTTTTAGTTTCGTAGCAACTGGGTTCACCTTCGGTTTTTTATGCTGTTCGTGTTGCTCATTCTGTAATTTTCCATGTGATGTTTTGTTATTAGTATCCTTTCATCCTTGTTTTTTTTTTGTCATGATATTGTTTTTATTGTTTAAATGTTTTTTAATACCCCTTGTTATCATCTCCCTCTATCTTTTTATGCTGAGGCCTTTGGCAACTGACTGAAAGGTATCGGATGCGATAATTGTAAGATAACAATATATCCATATAGCTCTCACTTCGTGTAAAACAATTCATTCTGAGGTAACAAAAGTTCTAAAAAAGGTATAAATGCTGGCTTTTTTTAATAATTTCAGACGAAATTTACAGTATTGGTATAGATCTCTATAACTGAAAATTCATCTGCTAGATGCAAAACAGTCTGAGGCTCAAATTAAATGCATTATCATCCGAATCAAAAGAACTATTGCCAGATAAGAGAGTGTTATGCAAACTAAAATGATCTCTTACAAAAAGCTATTCAATTTGCGCCTAGAATGAGCAGATGTTTACAAATGACACCGCTAAGAGATACTAAGAGCACGCAGTTGAAAAACTATATTAGGCAACTTTGTTTTTCGAGCACAGTAAACCCAGGTGTTCTTAGTCTGTGTATATTTGAAACACATCACATACTCAATATAAAATACAATAATCACTACTGAAAATCATTCCACTAGACATTATAGTTATTTACATAGCAGATCTCAATGAAAGCAATAGTATTTTACCTATGTTCAAATTTCGTAAATCGATTCGGAAAAGACATGTCAATGAAACAGACCGAAACTTCAAATGTGCGTCGACAGGGTAAACAATTAATACAACGCGTTATTAATTTCAGGCGTCCGACGCGCTTTTCTGAATTAAGCTTCATCAGGAACGCTCAAAGCCGAATATTTGAAAGCCGTGGATGTATAGGAACCAAAACAATTGAAGAGTTGTATAATCAAAAAGTACCTAAAACATAGCCAAATCCATCTAAGGTCAACTTTACCTGAGGGAGTTAAAACCTTAGTTTCTTTATAATTTTAAAATTTATAAACGGACAATTTTAGAAAGGTTTGTTATTAATCATGTCAGTACTTAAATACTGACTACTGAGCTGTTGATACCCTTGGGGACTGATATTCTACCAACAGAGGTATCGACCCAGTGCTGTAAAAAATGAAAACAACACGTTATTAATTCCATGCTTCCGAAGCGCTTTTCAAGATTTACCTTCGTCAGGAACGCTGAAAGCCGAATATTTGAAAGCCGAGGAGAACCAAAACAGTTAATAAGCGTCTCCTGCTTTGCATGGATATCTACCAAGCACTGTTTGTTCCTCAGGATGAATATTTTATACAAATCATGTGCTATATAAATCTACAGTAATTAAAACTGTTGTCAGGAATATTTAAATTGAAAAAAAGTAAAACTATTTTTGTGTATCGTTAAACTATGATCTTGCAAAAACTAAACCTTGTGTCGACAACGATAACAAGTTCCAATATTTTGTTTTTCTCTCATATTTCACGTACAGGCATTATACTTGAGTACTGTGTTTATCTTATGACTTATTGTTTGATATAGAAGGAAAGCAATTTAAATTTTAGATAGGTAGATGTGTTGTAGGTATCTATTATAGTTTCCAGTATGTTTTTTTTTAAAATTTTATGTACCGGTATGAAAATGCAGTTCTTGGGGTTATCCAAAGATAGATAGTATTATACAAACTCTGAGATTTGAAAGTCTATGGTGACTTAAATCTTTGTGAGCAATAACCAATTGTGCCAACATTCTTTAAATCCAAGTTCCTGCATTTACATTCTGTTCGATTGACACCTCATGCTGGATTGTTTAACACAAATTCTGAGCTATTAGCACGAAAAAGGTCAACGGTTACTTAAATTTTTGTTCACAACAATGCAAACTACAAAAATCTTCTGAATTTTTTTGCACTGGAATTATGATTGAGTACTTTTCATACCTAAGGATGGATTGTTTGACATAAAATCGAACCATTTTCAGTTTTAAAATTGAAACTAGTGTTGTTGTAACTCCGTTTAAAGATGGTAATATTTTATCCTGGCCTAATCATTTACTTATTTTGATACCCCAGATGGGTTGGTTTAAACATATTCTAATACTATGTGTTTATGGTTATTAAAAGTGGTGTCGACAAGAATAATGGTTCTGTGTTTAGAGTTTTTTTTATGTTTTGTCTTATATACTGTGTTTTGTATTGTTGGTCCTTGTGTATTTTTGACATGGCGTTGTCAGTTTATTTTTTTACTTATGAGTTCAAATGTCCTTTTCGACTCTTTTTTGATAAACAATGCCATCTTTTTGTCCTTCAAAATAAAAAAAAAAAAAAAAAACAACAAAAAAAAAAAAAAACATTGAATAACATTCTGTTCTTTTGGTACCTCAATATTGATTGTGTCATTCAAATTGTGAGCTATATTGGTCAACGTTTACTTAATCTTTTTATCGCCAACTTTGCAAAGTGCCTATATTTCTTCGTTTTCATGAAATCAATGTACTGGCAGTATGATTTGTATAACTTATAATTGATCGTTAACAAAAAGAGAAGATATTGAAATGTAAGACTGTAAAACGTGTTGTTAAAGTCTTTCTCTTTTTCTGGAATACTATGATTCGTACTGAAATTCATTTCTTTCAGTACCCGGGAAAAGGGCCGTTTCAATAATTGGTGAGCACAACGTGTGTACAATTTCTTGGGATTATGTCGGAAACATTTAAATTAACTCTTTTTTTTTTGGAATGAAATGCATGTACAAGCAATATGACTGCCTACTTTATCTACCTCAGGATGATTTTAATCACTATAAAGACAAACACATATGTCTACCTCAGGATGATCTTAATCACTATAAAGACAAACACATATGTCTACCTCAGGATGATTTTAATCACTATAAAGACAAACACATATGTCTACCTCAGGATGATCTTAATCACTATAAAGACAATCACATATGTCTACCTCAGGATGATCTTAATCACTATAAAGACAAACACATATGTCTACCTCAGGATGATTTTAATCACTATAAAGACAATCACATATGTCTACCTCAGGATGATCTTAATCACTATAAAGACAAACACATATGTCTACCTCAGGATGATTTTAATCACTATAAAGACAAACACATATGTCTACCTCAGGATGATTTTAATCACTATAAAGACAAACACATATGTCTACCTCAGGATGATTTTAATCACTATAAAGACAAACACATATGTCTACCTCAGGATGATTTTAATCACTATAAAGACAAACACATATGTCTACCTCAGGATGATTTTAATCACTATAAAGACAAACACATATGTCTACCTCAGGATGATTTTAATCACTATAAAGACAAACACATATGTCTACCTCAGGATGACATAAAAAGAAAATCAAAATAAGCTTACAAACGAATGAATAGTTTGTGTGCCTCTACTGATAGTTCGGTTATTTTTTTATTGCTCTTGAATATCATGTACCAGCGTTAAAATTAAATTGTTGGTTGGTTCGTCAGGTTGGAATGTTTTACACAGGATTTTGGTTAAGCAATGATATTTTTTTTATTGTGTGGTTACTAAAACTATCAATTGAATTCTGAATTTTAAATGAGAAAAACAAAGTTCAATGGTATGGAAACTAAATGATAAATTGATGGTGTGATACCCACCGATAGGAATAAAAATACGTTTTAAATGTGTACCTCGTACCAATGTGCTCCAATTTTAACAGTTTGAAATGGTTGCAATGTTTTCAGACAACTTTTTCAAAGACTAGATGTCATATTGGTAAAAGCCAAGTTAGATTTTTCATTATGTATGTTAACTACATTTATAACTTATTTTTGTACACACCTTAGCAGTATATTGTTTTTTGAATGATGTCCAAAAATATTGTTTGAAATTGAGAAAGGCATTGCAGATGTAAAAAATATGAGCGGTATTGTGTGATGGAACAGAATCGCTGTAATCAATTTTAACATCTCATTTAAATTTGACAGAAATTAATTAAAAAACAATAATAGCTGATTAAACGGACACAAAGTAAACGCGCGATAAACTCCGGTAAACCTTACAAATTTCCATTTTTGGCATTATTAAAGTAGGTGAAGTTTATGTCTGTATAATAGAAAACGAGGATATGAAGCACATACACATTATATGTGCGCGTAACATTAAAGTGCGTTTATTTTACGTAACACTTGGTCTGCACCAAACTGTTTAATATATATGAAGTTATCGTTCTAAAACATAACATTCAATAACGGTCAACCAATTCATGATGCCATATGTACATATCTATGAAAAATAACACATCATATTAATCCAAAATCTAATTGATCAGTGAAAATAAAATCGTAAGAAAACAATATTTATAGAATTATGTGTAATATGATTGAAAACACAAAAGCTTAAATAAAAAAAACAGACAAACAAAAACAAAAAAAAACAACAATTAACAATATTTGAGATCATACATATGTAAAATTATTTTTGTTTAATTCTGAATGATTTGAGTTTGAGATTGAAATCTTTCGTACATGTCAATGGCAAAACAAATCGTAATAGTAATGGGGCACAAACTTACTGTCTGTCATTTAAGAATTCGATGCTCTTTTGAAATTTAGGATCGATTTAAATGCCTTCAGGTTTTCGCCATATCAGCATATCGCATTAACGAAGTTAAGTTTATTTTACTTATTGTTCTTGATCATCATTAAATCAATTTGTATTATGTACATCCTACATTACAGATGGTGGATGGTGGTGTTCCTGTCGGTCCAAATTGTGCCGTAAATGGGAGCTTACTGTCGACAAAAATTGCAGAATACAATTGTTCCCATGGTATTGGAGGACCTGCTGTCAGTGGTTCCCATGGTGGGCAACAAGTCGTAATTATATGGGATTCGGATACGGTGGTCGGTTCGGTGGTGGATCTAGTGGTGGCGGTGGATCAAGTGGTGGATCTAATAGTGATGGTGGATTAGATGGTGGATCTGGTAGTGGAGGACTGGGAGCTGGAGTAGGCAGCGGATCCGATAATGGAGGTGGATTAGGTGGTAGTTCTGGTGGAAGTAGTTCTAAAGGCGGAAAGAACAGTGGATTAAATGGAGGAAAAAAATCCTATTAAATTTGAAAGTATGTGATTCAGTCTTAACACATAAATAAAGCCAAACAAAAATATAAAGGATAACATACCGCCGACATACATACAAAACCCTTTTGAATTCAATAGGTTAGCATACAGTTTTCAACAAAAAACAAATGACTATTGAAGTTGTCAACTTTTAAAAAGTAAAATAATAAAAATACCATTCTCCGAGGAAAATTCAAGGGTAGAATCTGTTTTAGCGGACCCTGGAAGTTTGAAGATGCACCTTTTAATGCGCATAATCGATAACCCCAATTTACGTTGCTATGCTAGAATATAAACAGCGGTCATTTTTGTTACCACTTCAAATGACGAAGATGCAAATGATTTTCAAAGATTGCTTTTAACTAGTGTAACTGAACAATTTAAAATAAATCTAAAGCACTTACCCATTTAAGCTTGACAATGATCCAGACTAGAATTTAATGTGTTTGTTATTTCGTGTAGTACTCTGTTTTTTTAGTTACAGGTTGTGATTCACTGATGGTGATAATTTCTGTCGTTATCAATGTTTGTTTTTGTTTTTCTGGATTGTATACTTTTTTAAAGAGGGTTATAAATGCTATGAAAGGGTTTTCCGAGCCGATTATATATTTCTTTCGTACACAATATTGACTGAAATAAGTATCATAAAGTGAGTTTACCGTGCCGTATTTTGGTAGTGAAGTTTTAAGTGCACGCCAGATACTGTCAATGGTATTTGTACATGTATGCGCCCCTGTTTCTGGGTCTACAAAATTCACGAAATGATTGACTTTCAAATGCTCAAATCCCTCTGAACCTAGACAATCATATGCTTTCCAACAGTCACTTATTATTGTTGTTCTTGGTTTTATATTGTCTTTTATTAATTTTAGTGATGTTTCGTTTGTTCGATTTTCCACTGTGGCAAACAATCTTTTTTTGCTGTCTCTTTCAATACCTCGAAACACCCACTGACCTTCTACTTGACGCCCTTTGTGGTATTTTTTTTTGCCAAATTTATTTTCATCTATTTCAACAATTACGCTATCTCCTCCTTTTTTTCACTGTCTATTTTCAAAATGTCTATACAGACTTCAAGGCAATAATTTTACCAATCTACGATTGTTTGGTTACAAATGTAAAGTTCATGCTTTACAAATTCTTGGTCTATTTTGTAAATCCAGAAATACGATATGAATAATACTTTTTCCAAACTTAAATTATGTCCTTGAAACCAGGATCTGTTTCTGATAGAAAATTTTTTACTGCGATATTTTGTTGCTGCACTTCCAATAAAAAATGTCGTTTGAAAAAGAACTGTCTTTTCTTAATCCAAAATGTCCATGGCTACACTTTTTACATACCCCTCCAGTTAAATCTAGAATCAAACCTGTAGAAATACACCACTGAATATTTTTCTCAATACTTTCACAAATAATAAAAAAATCTTTTAACTTGATCGGCATTTCCGTATTTACATTGTAATGTTTGTAAACAAACACAGCTGATTTTACGTTACAGTTGACAATGAAGTAACTTATTTCATGACGTAGAGGTCACCGATAAAGGAATTTTATCACGTGATATACCTAACTGAGTAACGGAAGCGTGGACATTTTGTACACTTACCAAGACGTCTTTCTGTTAAATATTGTAATTCTTATTTAAAAAACTGTTTAAAACAACAGTCTTTTAAACAACCTTCACCTGGGGAATTCGATTTTTGGGCTATTTTCGTTTTTAACTTTGACTATAGTTTCCTGTACTTTTTATGGGGTCCGCTAAAGTAGAAGTACTCCAAATTCAAAACCAAAGGCCTTTATTAAATGTCTAATAAAAAGTTAAAAAATCATCAAATGAATGTAAAACAACTGTCATATTCCTAACTTGGTACAGGCATTCTTCCAAAAAAAAAAAAAAAAAAAAAAAAAAAAAACGCAAACAAAAACATGTGAAAAATGAAATCATTAGTATGGAATATGGAGAATGGAGACACTGCATCCCATTGTAAACACATTGGAAAAAGTAAAATAACAAAAATACCGAACTCCAAGGAAAATTCAAAACGGAAAGTCTCTTATCAAATTGCATAATCAAAAGCCTAAACATATGAAATGGACGGAAAACAACTGTCATATTCCTGACTTGGTACAGGCATTTCCTTATAGAGAAAATGCTGGATAACACCTTGTTTTATAGTTAGCTTAACCTTTGACTTGTATAACAGTCGCATAAAATTTCATTATAATGACAACAATGTATGAACAAAACAAGCAGACATGATAGGTAAAAATTTCAAAAAATGGGATACAGCAGTCAACATTGTGTTATAATCTTAATCACTATAACAACAAACAAATATGTCAACAAAGTAAATCAAAATGACATATAGACAAAGCACTAAAGCAATAATGAAAGACAAGAATACAAAAAAAAAAATTACCATAGGGGGCCGAAACATGTATGCATTCATGCACGGATGATTGATTGATTGGTTAGTTTGTTGGTTGGTTTGTTGAATAATTAATTGAGTTGCATGGCACTCTGCGCAATACATCAGATTTAACGTCCCATTTCTGGCCGAACATTGCTGCAAATTTACTTATCCCGCACAGCCATACGGACGCTTTGAATGCTCTAATGAGAAAATCCGTGCATCATTCTTTCATAAATTTTCTCTATTCTAGACGGAACCTCGAATTTTATGTTTTTTAAGGAAATTGGACCTTGATTTTTACATTTATATAATCTAGGAATACATTTCTAATTCTATCCGAATAGTAAAAACCCTCTGTTTTATTTTAAAGTAGTAAGCGCTATTTGTGATGTGATTGTGACGTCACTAAGAAGCACATATACTCAAACTGAATGCCTGCTTTAATCTTTTAAAGATAAAGACTTCGTCGGGACAGGTCACGCGTATACACATAGTGCCAACGGACTTAATTTTCTTTTATTTACAGGTAAATGGATGTGTGGTCCTTGATTAAGAGCGTTCGTGCATTGCATGGCTCTATTATGGCCAGTTTTTGGTGGAGTTCGTGTTGCTCAGGCTTCAGTTTTTTATGTTGTTTTTTGTGTACTATTGTTTGTTTGCTGGTCTTTTTCTTTTTTGACCAAGGCGTTGTCAGTTTATTTTCGACTTATGAGTTTAATTGTCCCGCTGGTTTCTTTCGCCTTTCCTTTAGGCAATTTTAAAGTGTGTAGTTTGAAAACACGTTTTTTTTATTATTTGCAGAAAAAAAAAACATGAATTTGAGCAGATTTTTGCAGGACGGATTTTTTTTTCAGATTTTTGTCTACATGTATCGCATTGCACTTTTACAGTAAAATCAACGAGACAGAGGGCGACTTTCAATTCAATAGAATTGTGATCCCTCAGAAAAAAATCAGGGGGGAGAATTGAGGTGGGGGATAGATGGCGGGTACTTTGTTAGTTCGTTGGTTGATTGATTGATTGAGATAAGACGCTTAGATATAAGAAGATGTGGTATGAGTGCTAATGAGACAACTCTCCATCCAAGTCACAATTTGTAAAAGTAAACCATTATAGGTCAAAGTACGACCTTCAACACGATGCCTTGGCTCACACCGAACAGTAAGCTATAAAGGGCCCCCAAAAAATGACTAGTGTTAAACCATACAAACAGGAAAACCAACGGTCTAATCTATAATATAAAAAACGAAAAACACTTATGAACCACATCAACAAACGACAACCACTGAACATCAGGTTCCTTTTCATAATGATAGCTTCATAGTTTGAAGTTTAAGACACTTTGTTGATTTGACTTTTTCAGGGACACTGACCCCTCAATAAAAAGTCGCGTCCCATTTTGACAAACAAGTTCCAGTTGCAATAAGTCGAGACTAAACGTTGGCTAAATTTGTTTGTCGATGTCTAAAACTTTCTCTGAGTAGAAGACATTTGAAGCAAATGTCAAAATTTAGAACATGACGGTGACCTTTGACCTTGACCTCATTTTCTTTTTGATTGACACAGGACATCAAATCAGAAGAAACCCATGTCTTTATCAATTATGATTTACCAGTATCAAATACAGGAGGGGAAATAACTCTCATTTGGAGTCTCTGGATCGCTTTTGACGATGTAACGAACAATTTCATGAATTTGGTCTAACAATTTTGTCAGTTTCTTTCACGGTTGCGAAGGAGTAGCAATAACAACAAGACAAAACAGTGTTTGGGGAGATAACTCGCAAGGAAAATTGTTCCGTTAAAGTTGTCAGTTTCAAAAGGGTATAAATTGTTCGATATCATATACCAATTATCTAATCTTCCCGGAAGAAATGAAAGTGCCGGAAAAACAAATAATAAAAAGAACAAAATCAATAGGTCTTTTGACGAACAAGTTTAAAGATCTAATGAAACAAATATAACTGTCCCTTCCAATATTCAGATTTTTCAGTTATGTCAGTTTTACACGAGAAACTCTTCACTAAAATGTACGACAAAATGGACGATTTTTCTTCCATATTGTTTATTTTCCTTTTCGGATAGTGAAATCAATATATATATAGTTATACCATTTCTTCATAAACCCTTATAGTTCCAACAGTATACATTTCTGGGCTCGATAGACACCATATCCGTAAAAAACGTGCTATGCCGGTTGAAATACGTTTTTTCAAAGTACAGCCAAACTAGCAAACCAAATCTTTGTAAACATAAAAGAATTTAATAAAGATTTTAAGTTATGTGTTGTAACGAAATCCATTACTTTATAATTCACCAGTAATATATTATAGATAGCGTTCATTGAAACCTTAAACGTCAATACAGACACGGGCATAGCGAACCAGTTGTGAAATATTAACAACGTAAAATGGTGCCAAACGATCTGTATGTAGTTTGTTCGTTGTTGTAGGAATGTATGAATACCCTGCAAGTCTTGTCTTTGTTTTTGTTACAAGTTTTTCTGCTTTGTATCGATCTGATAAGGTAAGCCTTTTTCAACTGATTTTTTAAAGTTTGTGTATATGTTGTACTGTTAT